CAGATGTTTCAGAATCAATATCATATAATTTGTTAAAATCAGGTTATTATCAGAACTTTTCGTGTGCCTCCTGCGATGTCATCAACATAAAGATAGAAAAATCAGCAATCATTTTTCGTGCAGTTTAAAGCAATACTGATTTGATTACCTGTGTTTTTATTGTTAGTGAACATTTGCTTTAATAGAAAAAATAGAGCTGAATATTATATTTACATCTAATGATGCTTATCTTTTTAATATATAGTAATCAGTTATATGCCCAGTAGTTAACTTGTTACATTAGATCAAGCACTTTTACACCAAGTTGGATGGAAAATAACATTTAACGTTGTTAATGGGAAATATCATGTAAATAAACTGACTAAGAGCAGAGCTTTACTGAAGTATGGGGCGGATGCAAGGTCAGGGGGATATGGGGTGACGTCACCCTCCCTGCTGCAGGAACCACTTGGAACCACAGATGACGTTATAAAAAGTCAGCCAACATTACCAAAGACCACTGATTTTAAAAATAAAACTAAGTGAGAAAACATTTATAGTTTTCGGAATAACAAGATACATGCATAAATAAATAGCATGAATATATGGAATTACACTCAGTCTTCCAACTTAGCTGTCACTTTCACTGTATCTTCATGTAAAGTGTTGGTTTATAATTTACAATGAGTAGTGTGAGTTTTATTTTGAAAATCATTTCCGGGATTACTCAGGCTAACTTGGCTGTTGTTTGGACGTCAGGACTGGGCTAAGTGGCTGAACCAAGTTTCTGCTCGCTGGTGCCAACGCCCGGCGAAAACATCCAACTTATCAGATAAAAACACAGAGGTACGTGGCTTTAAAAACTACCCAACTATTGGAAGCTATTATATTGAACGTTTATTGTAAACCCTTTTTTTATATATGGTAATTTGCTAGCAATAGGAAACTCTGAACACCTAAACTACCGTTAACCGACTGGTGGTTAAGCTAACGTTCCTATTAGCATTGTTGAGCGTTAGCTAGCACTGCAGTATCCAACTTACTTTAAAAAAACTAACATTTATCTTGTGTTGAACTTATTGACTTAATATAAATGTATAACATTTATTTATAGTAATACCCTGAAGTATTTTATCCAGTAAAGTTATAAAGCAGGCAAGTAATTGTTATTTAGCTAACGTTAGCATTCAGACAGTTTTGATAATTGTGGGGTGTGACTGAATAAGTTAAAACGGAGAAATGCTGCCTTTCCCTGGCATTACACCAATGTATTCTTTTGGTATTAGGATTTTAAAATGCATCGTAATTATATATTTTTTTATATTTTCTTATGTCGAACATATTTTATGGCCTAAGCTATCTCCTCCCCTTCTTCCTGCAGCTAACGCAATTGTCAGCAGCAACCCGAAAGCACAGAGATGCAGACTATCAAGTGTGTTGTGGTGGGTGATGGAGCAGTGGGAAAAACCTGCTTATTGATTTCATACACCACCAACAAGTTCCCTTCTGAATATGTACCAACAGTAAGTTTTGTAATGCGAAATGCAAAAGATAAACCCGAGAAATACCAAAGATCTGACTGTGATCCAGCATTTTACTCTTTGATTGCAGGTGTTTGACAACTATGCAGTAACTGTAATGATCGGGGGTGAACCATACACCCTTGGCTTATTTGATACAGCAGGTATATTCTTTTTTTTTTTTTTTTTTCTCAAGTTTTAATTAAAAAATATAAAATTATAATTGGCTCTTAATGTTCTTTGTTTAAATAGGGCACATTTAAAGTCTAATATTAACACAAAAACTTCCTTTGAATCTTATTTATCTTCCTGTTAAGCAGTGCACACGTTTTGTTATATGGTGGGAGGGGCTTTAACGAGAGTTTAGTTAACAGAGTAGTAAACAATTGAATTAGCTTGTTTTCTGTAAAGGAAAATAAAATAATATAGTGCATACCTATCAAAATAGTTAAATGTACTGTGTTGCAATAGGCAAATAAAGCTGTATTGTTTCTTTCTTGAAAATCTTAAGTACTTTCTTCAATGTGTTGTAGGCTTAGTAACACTGCTGCATCTTTGATTTTTATTGTTCCTTCCTGCTAGAATCTTCAGCATTACTGCTATATGGTACTGAGTGTAAATTTCTGCCTCGTTTCTCTACAGGTCAAGAGGATTACGACAGGTTACGACCACTAAGCTACCCCCAGACTGATGTTTTCCTAGTCTGTTTCTCAGTTGTTTCACCTTCCTCATTTGAGAATGTTAAAGAAAAGGTGTGTACACAAAGTTTGTGTTTTTATGACTTTTTTTGCACTTGAAACATTAAGGCCAACTCTAGTTAAACGCTTTTTAAAATAAAATAAAAAAACACTCAATTGGTCACAGATATTATAAACAGTTTTTAAAGAATTCATGTTTTACGGGGCTTACATCCAGCTTATTTATTTTTAGACTAATCCAACTTGAATTAACATATCTTTATTTAAGTTTGCAGTTTCCGGTTCTTGGCTTCACATGATTTTAGTGAATGAGAAAGTTTACAATGTGCATAGTTTAGGTGTAGGTGTAGTCAAATCTTGGCTAGCTAGTTCTCCAAACTTAATTAATAAGAATATTTAAAGTGCCTTCAGACAACATGAATAACTATGTTCAATAAGCTTGGCCTAACTATTTTAAGCTGAACCCAAACCCTCCTGAGGATATGCAGAAGTAATTTTTATATTTTGCTGTGTTGTGCGTGATTAAAAACTCACTAAGACAAAGTAGGTTGCAGGCAATGCGGTAATTGTTCCGTTTTGCCTTAGACTAATAAATTAATGCAGCTTCTAAACCTGCAAGGCAATGCTTTGCTTAGAGGAAGTCTGGCTGCATGCACTTTGTCTGGGCTATGCTGCACCAATCTCTTTGCCAGACTCATCCCAAAAAATGCTTAAAAGCTTCAACTGATAACATTTCTATGCAGCCAGCTACCACATTCCACTGAGCAGCTGTTTGCTGAGTTGAGTTTGGATCCCCAAACCAACCAATATTGATCCAAATAAATCGTCTTAATATTGCTGGAGATTGTAACTAAATCAAAAAAAAAAGAAAAGAAAAGCCTATCAATATATAATTTTTTTTTAGCTATCTAATGTCTCTCCTAATGATGTGGAGAGAAATACACATCTGTAATACTCATAATCTACAGCTTCATTTTTCTTTCTCTACATGTGATGAATGGTACTGTTCAATTTCAAATCTTTATATAATAAAAAGAGGACACTTTTTAACTCTTTTGGTAAATTAGCATTGGTTATGACTGATTTTCTTTTCCCTGTTAATTCAAATTTTACTGGAAGGAAAACAGGCAAAATTCAATAAGTAGTAAGGATGTGTGTTGTGTCCTTCAGAATTTCTCCGTCTAGGTATCTCTATTAGAATATAAAAAGCTGTGAGGGAATAGAAAGACGTTTAAAGGGGTTTACAGAAAATAACCTTTGTTTTTTTTTTATTAAATTCCTGAGAAATACCTTTTATAAAATATTTGAAATCATTGATATGTACATGTACTTATTTTTGACATACAAACATCTACAAGAATATGTGCTTGCCTTCTCTGACACATTATCTGTGATAGCAGTTTTAATTTGTCACTTTCCTTCTCCAGTGGGTTCCTGAAATCACCCACCATTGTCCTAAGACCCCGTTCCTGTTGGTAGGCACACAGATTGACCTCCGTGATGACCCCTCCACAGTGGAGAAGTTGGCTAAGAACAAACAGAAGCCAATCACCCCTGAGACAGCAGAAAAGCTTGCTCGAGACCTCAAGGCAGTTAAATATGTGGAGTGCTCAGCCCTAACTCAGGTAAGGTCTATTTCTAGTCGGAGCCTTGCATGAATTTACCATTGTTCTAACAGTAAAGCTAGAAATACTTTGGCTTGTCTTTTGCTAACAGCTTTTAGCTCAAAACGCCATCTAACACTGTGTGTGTCCATGTGTTTCTCCCTCTTTATGTTTTTCTTTTTCTGTAGCGGGGACTGAAGAACGTATTTGATGAGGCTATCCTAGCCGCTTTAGAGCCCCCTGAAACTCAGAGAAAGAGAAAATGCTGTTTGTTCTGATGTCTTCTTGCATCTTGCTTTGCCTCTTCATTGTCTGCTGCTTTTTCATTGTAAAGAAATCACTAAATTTAAAACTCTGTGCCGATTTATTTTTTTCTTTTTGTCTTCTGTGCTCTGTTTTCAACTTGGCCTAATCACAGTTACTCACGCTGCCGAAAAATGATACACGAGTGCCAATCTTTTTTCGTCCATCTGTACCTGGACATTTCTAGGATTTCATTTTTTAAAGCACATGCTGTTTTCTCAGCACTGAGCTCATCTGTTATATTCTACAAAACCATTTAAGCTGTATTCTGTGCTGGACTGTGAAGGTTTTTCTCTCCTGGCCCATTGGAAGTTTCCAGTGACTTTGCTTAGAGATTGAACATGAGACTTTTGTTTAATGTTTGAATAAAGGAAGATTTTAATTGCCTCCCTTCATTTCTACTCAGCTTTCTTTTGCTTGCAATGCAGTTGACATCAATTAGCAGTTTATTATTGGCTTTGTTTTGAATAATGACATTTTGTTTCCACAGAAAGGATTAAAGAATGTGTTTGATGAGGCAATACTGGCTGCCCTGGAACCTCCTGAACCTAAGAAAAAGCGTAAATGCATTCTGCTCTAAGATGCTTCACTATTACTTCTGTTTTCCCAAACTCGGTTAATAGTACTGATACAGTTTCCTGCACAAGCACATTCCACCGTTAGTTGAGATGTCATCAAGTTTTAGCCTTCTCACCAACTTAACCTAAGCAGATGTTTAATGTTATAGGATTTGATTTTTTTTTTTTTTTTACTTGATTATCCTATTATGCTGTGCAAGAAATTTTGATGTCACTGATGGTTGGAAACTTCACGAACTCCTGCCTGGTTAAACAAACCACAAACTGGAGAAACGTCTCGATTTAACTTCAGTGTTAATTTTATGGAAGGATTTCAGAATAACTAAAAGTTTCCTGCACATAGTTATTGTTATAGTGTTGGAATTGTTTTGCATTTCATTGAAAATGACTTAAATTGTTAAGACTTCAACATTCTATCACCAGCTTTTTACATAAAGCAATAATAATCCCTGTGTTTCTTTACATTTAAAATGTCTTTCAGTCATTTCAGCATGGCCTTTAGGATGATCTATGACATGCAATGCAGGATATTTCCACCCTTGTCCTAATTTTCCCCAGACCGAGCCTTCTAAATGCTTGACTTGCGAGTGTGCCAGTTCACACTCTAGACATTTTTTTTATTTATTGCCACAGGAAATTTTTCCCAGCATATATTTCAAAGTTAGAAAATGTCCATCGTAACGACATGAATGATCTCTTTACAAGATGAAGTTTAAAAAGCTGTTCAGTTGCTGGGTAACTTTAACATACCTGCGTCTCATCAGCAACAGCTTATAGTTCAAAGACTGAACCAATCAATGATGGGGGTTTACTTTTTCATTCCTAATTCGTAAGGTGAAGTGACTTGTAAATATAGTAATAACTTATTTACTGAATGAAATTGTTCATTACTCATGAGATTTTGAGAAGCTGAGATGAAGCCGAAGTCAAATTAACCTGAAAAATGTCTTTAATTGTATTCAACTTGAAAACGTTGTACTGTATCTTGTTTGCGATAAAAGGCACAACAATAAACCAGTATTATGACAAAATCTTCAAAGTAAACATTCTGTGATTTGATGTTACATTGTGTAATATGTGTGTGTGTGGGGGGGGGGGATAAATTAAGATTTGTAGTTCAAAGAACAAGCAGATTTGGTTTCTTTCCAATTTCCAAAAAACAAACTATTATATAATATATATATATATATGCAGACTCAGTTATAGATACATGAATGTTTTAGACAAACTAAAAATCAAGATTTTGAAAGCGGTTGTATACAAAAAGCATTTCTTAAAATCAGTACATATATATCCAGGCACTATGTAATTTGCAGTCTTTATATTTACGACACATGCTTCTACTTAGATTACCTCATCTCTTAGTGCCCTGTAATCTCTGTTACAGACATCAATTTTGGCATGATGATCAAAAAAAGGATTATAATGTTTATTTCACAAACTTTTTCACTTTTTAATAAGGCTTCATAAAGCTATGTGTCACATGCCGGGCATAATTCAATACATGTTTCTGTTAAGCGGATGCCGTACCATCCAGCCCAGAACACCTGATCTTTACCGCCATGTTCAAAATAGATATATCTCACTCCTGGTCCATAGTCCTTAAACACATGGATCATCTGGAAGAAAGATAAAAATTTAGTCAAAGGATTTGTCCGGCTGTATATGTTCATTTTGTACATACCTGTTGCCACCTGTGATTCTCGCTCTCAGGTAGGTAAAGAGTACCAGGAGTGAATTCTTGAATAACTTTCCTGTTGCTTCTCAGCAGCTTCACAGATATGTTGTATTCACAGTTACAGCGCGGTGCATACCTAACGATACAGAAACAAAATATTAGATTCAGTCCAGATCTGGCATTAACATCCTCACTGAAAAAAGAAAAACTTGGGGGACAGCCCTGAAATTTCATATGCATCTAGATTATAAACCAGAGCCACCTGAGTGTGATAATTTCTCTGACATTTTTTTCTTACCAGTCAGACACCCTGATATGGGGCTGGAATTCATCCATGAAAGCCTGGCTGTAACCTTCCTTCTTTAAATCAATTAGCTGTGACTTTGTACACATACTGCAAGAAATGATGGGAAATTGGACGGTTTCGCGTTTAGCTCAGCTTTAAACTGCCGAAAATAATTGCATTTAAATTCGATTTTGAGTCTGCAAGTAAATATTCACCTGAAAGAAGTCACAAAGTTGGTTTGTATTTCTGCATTTGGGTGCGGTGCCATCGGTTTTTCTACTCTCCATCCATCACCACCATTCTTTATTATATTCCAACCATCCAGTCCAGCTGCACAAGAAAAAATAATGACTCATTTTTATTAGCTAATTTCTTTGGTGTGTGTCCAGCTCTCTTCTAAGTTGATATCTGTTCACCTTCTCCTCTTGGATTTGTTATTAGATTTCTCCTGTTCTTGTTCATGAAGTAAAACAACCTCCAGTCCCTTGGTACTTTGGAAGGATTACGCGGGTGGTAGCCCTCTCTTCTACACCTTTCTCTCCAGAAAGACTCGTTATCTGCCACATCTTTCCACTGATGGCAAACTAACCGGCACACACAGACTACCTGTTGGGCAGGCAGATTTAGGAAGATTTCTTCAAGGATGTCCAGAGGAATAGGTACGTCCTGGCAAGACAAAAAGCTGAATTATGAGGGCAAGCATCTAAGTGTAGGAGGAAATATCACTGGTTTCTCATTCATTTTTGAATCAATAACTTCTGCAAATATTTCATGGCAGCGTTTACGTGATCTCACTGTTATTTGTTTTATAGAGGAAACTGCAAACATCTGTAATTTATTTCTATTATTGTTAATGATGACACAGTCAAGCCTTAAACAATGATAAATACCCATGGCAGATTAAGAAGCGTTTTACTATAACCAAGAAACCTGCTCCATCCAACAAATTTCTATCAGTTTCAGAACTCTGGGTCAGCCACTTCTAAACTTTTCCAGTGAAAACACCCATGTTGCGGAAGAAAGAGCAATCACTTTAAATGGAGTAGAGGCCTATGTGCTTAAGGAGCAGGTAGCGTGTGTCCTGGAGAAAACTGGGATTGCTGGGCTGGGCTAGACCTCCACTGAGGATGCTTCCCAGATGCTCCTTCTCTTAACAGGACACCTAAAGAATGAGTTAAACACAGAGCACAATTATCTCCACTTTTTAAGTATGCAGGGAGAATCCTTCCCTTTCCTTCCTTTATCAGTCAAATGTATTAATCATTTCAGGCTTGACTGAACCCCTAAAATTGTAAAAAAAAAAAAAAAAAAACTTGTCTTATTTAGTGGAATACCTGATTCTGGGGAACATTTCTGTCCTTTTAGTTATAGATAATGGGACATACATTCATGTTTCCTGTCATGTTAACTGGCTATAAACGTATAAAAGCAAAATAATACTATGTTTAATTACATTTAATCACAGTTCTTTGGCTTGATAAAGGTCTATACTCTGTATTGGAGACAAGAGTAGGCAACACACCCATAAGAACCAAATTAAACAGAAACAAGATGCTAAATAGCATACATGAAAACCAATGTGAGCATCTGTGCTGTCTGATTTTAATGGCTGTTTTTGTTCTACTCAAAGAAAAAAATCCTTTATAAAATATTTCTGATAACAACTGTTTATTAACTTAATAAAAGTCAGAACTATATACCGTAAGATAGTAAAATAGTATTTAGGGTTGAAAATGGCATCGCCAAATGAGGGGGGTTGAATACTTCTATAACACTGAAATGTGTCTTTCTCTCATGATGCCTTTTAAGCTTACAGACCTTATAGATGTCCATTGCCATTTTTTGCTTATCATTCTGGCTTTCCGTTGACTGACTCAGCATCAAAGGCGTTATTATGCACATTTTAAAGTGAACTTACAGGTCCAGTTGAATCCCAACCCGATTTAGGAAATGAACCAGTCCGTCTGACCGGTAAATTAGAGCTGAACGTTTCACCCATTTGTAGCTTTGCTATTCTTGTCTTTCGAGAAGTGTTTTTGGTATCTATTAAATCAGCACATAACGACTAAAAGCCTGCAATACAACACACAAAGTCTGTCAGAGGAGTTCCTGTGCAGAAATGGAACTGCGCTGCTTACATCCGGTGTTTGCAGCCTGACTCGGCGACCAATAGAACTGTCTGTTGCTAGATTGTAGCAAGCAAGAAGTGCTCTGATTGGGTATACAACAACACATTGTGGCAAAGTTTAAGATTTTACAAAAAATGCAATTACACTAAATGTAATTAAATAGAATGACATCCCAAAGGAAATATATATATATATATATATATATATATATATATATATATATATAT